ACGAGCAAAAGCACGTCAGCACTGCTGAAGCAGAAATATCAAATGATTCGGCCCATCTCAATCGCCTGGAGGGCACACATAACATCCTGTCGCCTGTTAGAGCTGCCATTGAATGCTCAATGTCTTGAACGAGCATGAAAAAACAAGGGGGGGGGGGTCAAATTGCAACAGTGAACTTTGATATTAAGAACGCGGTCATGGTCGCTAGTGCACATGCTATCGTGACAAGCATCTGCTTTCAAAGCGAAGAGACTGAAAAGAGCACTTCTCCCTCGAGCGGCCGTGTTTGCTTACAGCAGCGTTTTGTAGGAGTTGAGCAGTATTGGATCCAAAAGAGTTGGCTGCCTTACTTCGTATAACATTACAATTAGTTCCTGTTGCATCGATTGCATTGTATTCATTGTGCCATCATGTTGCCAGAGCCCATCGGCTAATCGCGAAGGCTACAGTCTCGCAACTCACAGCGTGGTGCAAGACCGAAAAGCGTCGACGAGTCAACCTCCAAATATTCAAAGTTCCTATCAGCGTCTAATCCGACATCTCCTTGGTAGTAACAATACGTTTGTCCATATTAACAATAAAAGAAATAAAACAGAGATGCTGAATGTCGTCGGTGGCCACTTCATGTGCGTGAAGTGATACCATGCACGTGCGCACAGCGTCTGCACGCGCGCACAGCGTCGAAAACGAGCGAACGACACAGATACTGCCAAAAACTATTCTGTAAAGCGCTCTCCATATGCAGTGTGGCCCCACATATGTGACGCTAACTAAAAGTCTAACAATGCAAAGTGGCATCACCTGTGTCACTATTTAAAGTGCAGTTCGAAGAATTTTGCAGCATTCTAAAGTGGTGCTGTCAACGCAAATGTTTTTTGTTTGTTGGTTGGTTTGGGGGGAGAGGGAGGGCACATTTGCGCATGTGCCCGTGGCGGAAAGAACAGTGGCAACGCCGGCTCGAGGGGCGAGGCCTGCGTGCCCTTCTTGCGCACACCCGCGCGCACTATAACAAGTATTTGCTTTCGTCTAGGAGTCGCCCAGGCCACAAGCGCGCCGCCGCCTCACGCTTCCTTGGTGGGGCTACTGCGGATGGTGCATGCTCGTGCTAAAATGAGAAAATTAGGGGCGAAAGTTTTAAGTTGTTAATGGCGAAAATTCGTTATATCAAGGGTGTTACCCACTACCACTTTTTTAAACAGAGGTTGCTAATACACGTGCTTCTATAGAGTGACGATGACAAATAAAGAAACTGTTGCATCGAGGAATTCGTTATATGTAGGTTTGTTATAGGCAGGTTTAACTGTATTGTCTTTTTCCATATCTTTAGCTTTGCAACAGAATTACCGTGTTTGGCAACCCCAACTTGTCCAAGAACAAGTTTTTCTCAAGTCCCAGATAGAGGCTTTTGCCTAGATGTGCACCTTGTCTTCTCCCTTGAACAAACATAGCCAAGAGTTTTGTCACAGCACTTAAATACCCACTATCTCAACTTTGTGGTTTTCTGAAAACACAAGGCCAGCACCGCTACTGCCGTGCAGTTACTCATCCACCACAGCACCACATAGGAGGAAACGTTGTGGAGTTCTAAAGTTGAATTTGACTGTGAAGTTTTCTTCCTACAACAGACACAGCCTGGTTTTCTGTTATAGCGCACAAACACACAAGGTCAGCACGGACACTGTTGTGCAGCTTGCTGTCCACAGCACCACCTAGGAGAGCCTCTGGACTGCAAGTGGCAACACCAAAAGAGTTAATGGGTGCCACAGGCCAGCAGCTGCACCAGTTTCTTGCGAATCACAGCTGTCAGTGCGTGTGAGCTCGAACGACAGCCACGGCCAGGGAAGGCACGGGACGCATGCAGGGGGACTCTCGGCAAACTGCACACGCTGCGCCAACACGATGATGCAGTAGTGCTGCGGGCTAGACACAGCACTTGCCACTAGCAGGCGTGTGCTGTTTTCCTCCCAGCTGCCATGGCACCTGAATCCTGCGGGTCGACAACAGCAGAACTAATGTCACCCTTTGGCACAGAAGCACCTTTTACGGCTGAACTCCTCTATGAGAGACATGTGCTGGGCAAAAATTGTGCCCTCTTATGAGGTGTCTGATAAGCAGGGTACCACGTATGCGTTTTGTGAACCACCATTCGAATGTAGGCACACTGGTGTTTCTTACACCCATTCTTCTCTTACATCAGCGGCTCTGATAAAGGGTTCAACTACACCTGCTGATGCTTATACCGTTTTCGGTGCATAAAAAATTAGGTGACCTTTAAGCTTCGCCTTTACAAGTTGAACGCCATAGTGTCACTGTGCCTAGTGCATGCTTCAACCACTAGACATACTTTTTAATATATGATGTTACTTAAGAAGTTTAAATTCGGGATTACTACAATGTTGAAAGTGGCTTGCATCAGTGAACCTTTCTTAGGGGCTTGCATCAGTGAAGCTTTCTTATATGGCTACATTGCATGCAGTGGGTATAATGCTTTGAAGCACTGGCAATTATGTGTGCAAGATGTTTTGAAACTTGCTATGCATCTTCTACATGGTCTTAAGCGCGGGCGTTTTTATCTTCTTTGTTTTCTTTTGCATTCGCCCCGGCAGACGCGGTTTTTTTCCGCTCGCCCCGGCTGATGCGGTTCGAACTTTGCGTTTTTTTAAAGAAGATGCAACTATGTGGGTGCCTTTTGTACTGGGTGGCTAGCTTTAGACCACACATCACTATGATAATAACATGCTCTGACGACCGATCACTTGTACCACGCAATATTACTGCAATATTATATGTTGCATTATAAAGCCTGTATACAGAACACATTTTATTGTGAAGCTTGCAAGTTCTTTTCACTACATTTCCAACCAGAGGAAGTTATTTTCACTGTATTTCCAAGCAGACGCGTGGCTGTGTGGTGGAACATCATCAGCTTGCCATGCAAATGACCCAGGTTTACTCCTCACTCGGACCAGAAAATATTTATTAAATGCGAAGCATTTCTTTGCGCACTGCAGGCACTATGAGCGTCTGCCTGTGTGTCTGTGTCTGCCTGTCTGTCTAGCAGCCAAGGCCTGGGTACTTCAGTGATCACCCTTTTAACTTGGAATAAACCGATATCAGTAGAGGGTAAGATGATTTGACGAATACATCTCGCTGGTAGTAACATGAATAATTTCACAATACCATCGTATATGTCGTCAAACACTTTCGGTCAGGCAGTGGCACATACCAGTTCCCCTGTTATGTGGGTATGTGCCACAAGTGATTTAACACTTTATATCTACTCAGGAACAACGAGAACACAAATGGGTAATTTTAACGCATGAGCCTTACGAAAAAGCCGACACCAGCAGCATCGACCCAATGAAGAATAAAATCCACAGATCACACGTGACTTGGGAATCGATGTTATACAAAGCATGCACTTTGAAGGCGACTATGCTGTAATCTTTTTATTGAGCAAAACATTATGAAGTGGCTCTATAGATATGTACAATTGCACGTACAGACATATGTTAAACAGCCACATATGTTTTATATAACCTGTTGTTTAAGTTGCATAACAACGCCAAAAGCAACATGGGTATTAGCAACACCAAAAGCAGCAAGTTGACATCAAGCACTCGTGCTCACAAGCAAGCCCTCGAAACTGCTACATGAATCAACTTCATTGGATGGCACCTAACTACAACTGACGTTAACCCGACGTAATGGCTGCATCACAGGAGTATATGTATTATGTTTAAAAAATTGGATAGCGAGTCCTACAACCACAACTGACAATTCACGAACAATAGGATCAATTTGAAAAGTAGTTTATGAGACCTGGGAAGGCTCTGTGGTAGAATAATTGATTGCCAAGCAAAAGCTGGTGCTCGAATGACCTTTCACTGTATCTACACAAAGTCATTAAAGAAGAAGCGGACGTCGACAATTATGAGAAAAGAGGAAGCACTTGAAGCTTCACCTGGGCTCCTCTATGTTGTTTTTCAAACAACATAGAGGAGCCCAGGTGAAGAGACAGTAGTGTGTTTTTTATTAGCTTTTTCAATAATCTCTTCATTTGAAACGCGAGATGAGCTAATAAAGATTTTGAGAAAGCTTACTGTTTGCGTGCTGTTAGCACTGAATTATTTGCCCCATTTTTTATGGCAGCAAAAAAAAATCCCCCAGGACAAAAAAAAATTAATATGTGTTCGGCGGCAGAAGCGAGAGCTTGATCGCCTTCAAGTCTATATTAACCACGCGCGCTGAGCAGTTGTCAACTACCAAGAGCACGCTTCTGTTAGCTAATTCAAATTTGCCATCGAGCTTTATCAGCCACTGTTTGAATATTTCCTGCGTCATTCATGCCTTGCTGTTGGCTGTATACTCTGCCGGTAGTGTGCGGACGTTCTTGAAGCAACAAGGCTTCAGGGCCTATGATCAGTAGCGTGAAGATTATCTGTTTCTGTCATGTTTGCTGCGACTAAGACAGTAACGTGCTCTTTACTTCTCTTCCCACTGACACAGGTGTCACCTTTGTAGGCCAAGGTTTTACTCGGCAGCTGCTTATTAAAAAACGCTGTTTCATCGACAATAAACATATCGCCCGGCGAATACTCTTGAAGGAGTTCTTGCAAGGCACCGCTTTGCCACTTCGCGCATGCCTCGCTGTTCACTTCTTTGTCTTCGCCTGACACGGTGCAGAACACAATCTCGTGCCTCTCTCGGAAGCGATGGAGCCAGCCCTCTGAAGCGTTAAAGGGGCCCTTAAACACTTTTTTGAGTAATTATGAAATTAATTCACTGGAAAAGCGTATTACTTCACAAATTGAACGCCGCAAAAATCTTAAGAATCCGTCCAGAACGAGCGGAGTTACAAAGATTTCTCACACGCTGCAATCACATTCTCTCTTGTCCTGGCGAAAGCGCCGGAAGCTGAGCAGAAAGGAATGGGAGGGGCAAACAAAAAGTGTCACTCGCATCTCATGACCTTGAGTATTTTTTTTCTTTTTTTCTTCGAATATGCGACTTTTTCAGTGCGATCGCGCGCGCACGCATGAACAAGTGACAGCCTCTCGCAGCGACCTTTGTAACAACCGAGTGCATCATGTTCAAAGCTGCCAATGGCTGAAAGATGGGCTTACTGGAATTATTTTCCGTGATTCGTTGAGAGAAAAGAAAGCTATTTTTGGCTGACTGATAATTTACTGTAAATTTCAAGCCGCGTGATGTGCTATAAGATTTGGCTCGCATGTTGTCGGGAGCCTCTACTACCGATCGACCGCGTTTTCTGACCATGTTTAAAAAGTGTTGCAGGACCTCTTCAAGAGGGGACATGATGTGTAGAGATATTTCCTGCATTCTTAGACCAAACACGATGAAATGTAAATGCTTATGTAGTTTTTCCAGCTGATTTCAAATATACAAATAATTTTATTGTAAGTGAATAATTTATAAGATATACAATGATGCCACTCTATTGTTTTTGGAGATAATAGAAAAGAAAGTGCTCATCAAAAAATAAATATTATTGCATAGCTAGACAGTGCAGTTGGCATAAGTGCAATGCTGAAAGCAGATTTCAAATCAAAGAAAAACTAGTGATCTGCAGATGATGAAAGTTGAGGAGTCATATCATGACTATCACATACACAGAAATTTAATACAGTCGAATCTCATTATTTTGAACACGCTTAATTTGAACTTTCGGTTAATTCAAACTCACGATGAGATCCCGTCAAAGCTATGTGTATTCTAATGGTCGAAAACGCCCGGTAATTCAAACGCGCAAGCACTTACGACGGTTAATTCGAGCATACCGCTCTCCAAAAATGCTCTCAGCTACCAGCCCTATCCCTAGGTGGCACCTACACACCTCAACGCTGCGCGCGAAGGAAACGAAAAGGAAAGAAAAGGCTGCGGTGGGATGTTTGCTCTCCCTCAAATGCCGATCTGCGATGTGCCCGTGTCCCGCTTCTCCCTTTTACGTCCCGGCCACGTAAGGACCCTTCTCCTTCCACCGCCGCGCGCGAACAGAGAGAGGAAAAAAAGAAAGCTGTCGCTGCGTTGAATTAATGTGTGGTTGAAGGAGAGGATCTTTGTGCAGCCACATAAAGACCCTTCTCCTTCCAACGCCGCGCGCGAACAGAGAGAGGAAAAAAAAGAAAGCTGTCGCTGCATTGAATGAATGTGTGGTTCAAGGAAAGGATCTTTCTGCAGCCCTTGCCCCTTGCGGGAGCACGGCTCTGTGCCTTGAGGGGGTGGGGTGGGGGGAGTGTCCCACGCGCTGGTGCCACGCTTCCCCTTTCTCGTCCCTGCCACGTAACCCTTCTCCTTTCAACGATGCGTGCAAAGAGAGCAAAAAAAACTGCCGTGGAGTGTTGGTTTTCTCTCAAATGCCGGTCTGCTTCTCTCCGCGTGGAGACTGCGTAGCGGAGAGGCTCCGCTACGCAGTTGTTGTTGTCGTCGTTTTTAGAAAGTGTCGGCGCTGAACACTTCCGCGCGCAACTTCTCTTCCTAAGAGAATGCTGAAGCCGAAGTAGAAATGCTTTGCAAGCTGCGAGCAAAATTGATTGACTCACTGCAAGGCAAACGTGTGCAGACGCGCACCACCGTGTACTTCAATTAATGACGAATGCCCTGTGACTTGTGAATAAATGTAAGTCTCCTGAAACTTTCCCCTCGTGTGTTAGCTTAATGCACATGTGCCACTGCATGGGGAGCCCTCCGTTTATTTAGCTTTCATTAATTCTAACAAATTTTCGGGCCCCTTCAAGCTCAAATTGTCGAGATTCGACTGTACCTTTCAGTTTATATGGGCAGCAAATGGAAATTCTGCTCCCAGAACTTTGTAATACACAGATTGGGCTTTATATTAACAAAAATTTATTGCTCTAGCTGTTCTAGATCACAAGATATCAACCCAAAAAAACTAGTAATGTCGCCAAAAAGCATGTTTTGAGAAAACTGAGTAAAAAAAAAGGTCATTCATTTACATAACTGCACTTAAAATGCTCAGTATGCACCGGGCATGTAGTCCTTTTGTCTATGAGCCCCTGTGTACCGCTTTTTCAGGGACTGTTGCATGTTTTCAGTTGTTTGTCGCTTCTTGGCTGACGCTGCCGTGCGCCGTCGATCCTTTTCAGCCATGCGGCTTCGGCTCTGCCAGCTCTTTCATAATGTCTTCTGATGCCTTTTTATTGCCTGCATTGAACTTGAGCACTGCTTCTGCCACAGCTGCCTCTACCGTGAATAGCGAAGCATGTCGCTCCTTTGGTGCCAGCACCCTGATCATTGAATGCAAGCATTCGTTGTTATTTTGGGTTTTCTTATGCTGACTTTGTTGCAACAGCTTTCGACGATGTTTGGGAATGGGCTCCGCCTTGGCCTTTGCCTCATATTGCTTAAACCAGGAATTTGGGCCAGCTGAACACAGAGTGGTTTGCCACATCATCAATGGACGTGATGTGACAAGTGGCCATCACTGCTATGTGCATAGCATCAACTTCACCACTGTGTGTCTTCAGAGCCCACCCGTAATGATTGGTGAGCTTGGAGATCAGGTCTCCTGTCAAGCAGCCCTTTCCCCTAAGACTCTCAAGGCCAGGGCCTTTGTGTTTTGCTATCAAGTTGCGCAAGGGAGTGCCCGTACGCTTTTGGACATGATAAATGCAGTCCTGTTTTTCCACTGGGATATACCCATATGCCTTATCACCTTGTCGCGCAAGGTAAATACAGCAGTCCCCGTCACAAAGCACCGTGGTGTAGCGCAGGTTGTGCCGCTCAAGTGACCTCCTGAAGAGAATGAGGGCAGCCTCAACCTCGATTACCCCAGCCTTCTTGTCACTGTTCTTCTGACACCGGTGACGTTCTTTCCATGCTGCATAAGAAGGGTCGCTATCCTTTGGGCTTGATTCGGACCCAGCACAAAAGTTGCTCAAACAACTCAAACACAAAAGTTGTTCAAGTCAAGCACCAGCGTGCTGAGCAATTCTATGATGGTGCCGAGACCGATATGCGATGAATGACCGTAGGTCATCTATGACCCATCAACTGACACCGCGATGTTTCCCATGTGGCCTATATTAAGTTCGGCGTAAAGTTCTCGAACCGATCGCGCGCAGTCAAATTGCATGCAGCACCATCAGCCGCGAGTGCCAACTTCGTCTTCATGTAGTGTTGCCACGATTTCGTGTGAAAACCCCGACGGCTGATGCCCATCAACGAGAACACATCATTCAGCGCGGTCTGTCTCTTCCCGTTCCCTGCATGGCATGCACAGCCAAAACGTTCACAGCAAAAGGGTTCGTACCCTCATCGCTATGTACGCGCGGCGAGCTCCACAACGACGCAGTCTCCCCATAGGTCGAACACACAAAATGCAACTTCACGGCGAGTCCAAATTCCCGATTATCGTGGACAATTTGCAGTTCTCCGTTGCATGCCTTGCACTTTGCAAATTTCAACAAAGCGCTGTTCTCTGTGTCCAAATCTATAATTGTGAACGTGGTTCCATCAGGCGGCCAAGCTGCTTCGTCGGCACCGTCAACCACGAATGCGCGTTTCCGCTCCGTCGCTTGAGCGGACAACAACTCCGATAACTTATCTTCGACTTTCGCACGCTCCTCTTTCAAGCCAGATTGTTGCCGATAGATAGTACCTAGATGCACGCGACCGCTTCTCGAAGGCTCGGCGGCTGATAGACTTTGCACAGGCTCCGTGACAACTGATGCAGGTTCTAGGACTTCCATGGTAGCATCGACGACTTCACCATGGGACGCGGGAAGTGTAGCGTCTCGGGGGTTTCGCGGTATCACGGAGCAATTTTTGAAATTCGTAACTAGCCTCCGTCGCACCTTTTTTGCACCAAACTTGTGTCACGCGCGGAATTTGCACTCAGGATTTGACATCGTGAAAAGCTTCTTCGCTGACACTGAGGCAAAATGGCACGCCTGGACGCGCACCTCAATACGCGGAGCGGATGAAGCCGGGAGCCTCTACCAATAGGCAGGCAAGCTGAAGTCACGTGCACGAAGTAGCGAATAGGAAGACGCTCTGATACTTCTTTTTGCCACTCATTTTCTAAGCTGCCAATGGTTGAATTGAGCCCATTCTGGCAGAAATTTGAAGGAGAAAGACGGCTCTCTCAAATGAAACCAGCGGACTGTGCTGGCACACTTAGAAGGGCAGGGGCGCGTCACAGAAAATGTGCAACTTCAGCGTCAATTTTGGCTCAGATTTACCTAGAAAGCCTTGTATAAGGGACTTAGCGGCTAAAATAATGATATTATAGGCACGAAATTCTTGATTTAAGTGCACTAGTAGCTGTATATTTAAAAAACAAAAAAAAAGCTTTTTCGCGATTTTTCGGTCTCCAACAACCCGTGTCCCCCTTTAAAATCATCAATGTTCAGGTGAAGTGCGAAATTCGCTGCTTTCGCCATAACGATAGAGCCGCTCAGTGGAATGTTTTGGCTTCTCGTTTCCTTGATCCACATGAGCACTGCGCGTTCTCATTCCGGGTGCTTCGCTGAGCGAAGCTTCTTGTGACTGCCAGTGAACGCATCAGTTGCGTAGGCATCCTCAATCGCTCTCTTATTTTTTATATATGTCGAAAGAGTGCTTTTTGGGATTCCATGCTTCCTTGCGATTTCAAGCTTGCTTGTTTTACCACCGTCCACTTCACAAAGAGTTTCTACCTTCTCTTTGAGCGTCTTAGTGCGCTGTCCTCTTTCGCAAGAAGTCATAGTAAGTGCGGTATGCTAGGTCCAGCAGCCGAAGGCAACACCATCACAAAACCCACGGCACTGAATGACTTTGTAGCTTTGGCGCGCATGAGACCTAGCGACTGAATGTACGGCACACAAAGGACACTGAGAGGCATTCAGCACGAACCACTACATGATGCGAAGAGCACGCGCAGTTGCCGAAGTCTGCCGCAGTCACGCAATGATGCCACGTGGTTAAGTACCTAGGCGCTGGATTGGATTGAATTGCGCCTGCACTCACGCTCGCGGCATCTATTGTAGAGGCATAAAAGCTTACGGCGGCAGTATAAAATACCACCACGCAGCGGCGCGCAGTTCCAATTATCGATAGAGGAGCCGATGCGCGCGTGAGCTAAGAGTTGGTTAACCCATAGACGCCTATACATCATGACCGGACCACGACTATCAGTTCAAATTAACCCGAAAGTTTGAATCAACGAGGTGCGAATTAATGAGCTTTCACTGTAGCTGAAGCGGTCCAGAAACCCCGCAGTGCTACTTTTGTGCCAAAGACCTGCTTATTTTTAATTAAAATCTTGTTTTAATGGCCCGCATCGCATTGGCGCACTTTAAATCACCCGCCTAAAAGTGTTCTTTTAGATGTAACTGTTGCTGTGCCCAACGTTGGCTGCGTCTACTGCACAGTCACTAACACCAGTTGCAGCAAATCGAAAGTAGGGGGAACCACAGAAGCAAGAACAGCCATTGAACAATTTTCTGCAATCTTGGAGAAATGGTTCTGCTAGCTGCTACTTGGTTATACTGGGCACCGCTAAATGGCTCATCCTATCCAGTCTAACCAGCCGAAAGTGAACTAAAGACCGCTCGCTCCATCCCCTATAGTAACGCCCAAGCGGTTCTCTTTTCTAAAAATAAAAAAAAAGCGGACAGGCAGCATTTTATTACGTCTCATGATGCGTAGAGGATTCTTTTTTTGTTGTAGCTACCTTGTTATTAGTGATTAACTGTAATTGGACGCTGATGTCACTGGGATCATTTGACGAATGCCCACTCATGACACACATTGTGCGATGGATTTAACTGAATATTTTGGCAAGTAAGGCACTGCTGTTGATAATATTGTCATTTTAGACGTCATACACTGAGCTTTCACTCTGACATGAATAGTCATTTGCCTTAAGAGTGCCTTTTATAATTGTCACCAAAGCCGTTGTTAGCACCCTAATATGATTGATATGTGGGGTTTCACGTCCCAAAACCACTATAAGATTATGAGAGACGCCGTAGTGGAGGGCTCCGGAAATTTCGACCACCTGGGGTTCTTTAACGTGAACCGAAATCTGAGCACACGGGCCTACAACATTTTCGCCTCCATCGGAAATGCAGCCGCCGCAGCCGGGATTTGAACCCGCGCCCTGCGGGTCAGCAGCCGAGTACCTTAGCCACTAGACCACCGCGGCGGGGCTGTTAGCACCCTAATAGAAGTGCACAGAAGAAAAGAATGACTTGGTCGCTAAGTTCCAAGTTTTTAAGGGCGAGTCCATGTAAAATGAACTACTGATATAATGAGCACATTTCACAGCCCCTTCCAGTTACATTTCCTCACTTTTCTTCTTGACCTTTCTGTTCCCCTTACCCTTTCCGTATTGCAGGTAGCGAACTGGATTTTTTTTTAAAGTAGATTAACCTCCTGGCCTTTCACTTTGCCCTTTACGCTTTCTTTGTTCTGCCAGTGTGATAAAAGTACTCACGGTGAACGTCCGAGCCACATCCCAGCATCAGTTGTAACTGTTCCTGGTGGTCACGACAGTCCCAGCTGAGCACAGAGTTGCCACCGCAGCCGCGCAGCAGGAGGCCCACAGTGCTGCCCCTTCGAGGAAGCAGGGAGAGACGTCCCGGGATGGGTCCACAGCTGCCTCCGGCCTGCTGCTGCCGCACCAACGTGAGCGGTCGTGACGGCTGCTCCCAGTCGCCCAGACGCAGCTCCACTACCTGCGGCGTCTTCCGCAGAAGTCTCAGGCAGCGCCGCTGGCTGGAACATTGATATATGAAGACACAAAGAAAATGAGGTCTGAGCAAGCTGACACTTAGCACTGAGAAGCACACATCGGTTGACTGATTTCTCCTGAGCAGAGAATAAATACAGGTAACTTTTAAATAAGAAGAAAGAAAAACGAAAACTTTCGGTAATAAACAAGTGATGCAAAGCCGGGAAAACAATGTACGATCTCTTCACCATGAAAATAGGTATAAGACAAAAATGATTCTTTATTAAACAACTTTTATCCCTAGCCTCTGATTGGCAGCTATGCCAAAGTTTTGCGCGGCTGCATCCACGTTTACACCCAGGGGTACATTTCCATCTCGATTACTGAGCCAAAAATTAAGATTTAAACCTAGTGGCAAAAGGAACAGTTCGCTGATTTCTGGTAGCAGCGTATGCTGAATTCCGCACTAGAGTGGCATCACAACACTGGTACTCAGTATGCCCTTATTCAAAGTGCCGTCACTTGAGGAGATAAACGCCAAGGTGTGCACTTCCACTAAAACCTACGCCCGCGATAATGAGTAGACCCCAAAGTGCTTCAGTAGTGCTAGAGACAGACTTCATTGCTTGAGAGTGTAAACGAGAAGGTGTGTGTCTGGCGTGTGTCTCGCTGGCATGTGCCACGCCGGCGTGTGTCTGGCTTCTCCGCAATCTGATGTTGTAATACTTAAGCGCCCACCGACAGTGACAAAGCCACCCGCTGCCCACCGACCGAGGTACTGTTGGTCACTGGTAAATGGACAAGAAAAGCTTAACTCGGTAATTTATGACCGTTTCTTTGTAAGCAAGCTTGTCGCTGTTATCGACATTCCTAAACATAGTATCAAGACTCCAAGCATTACCTAGCGACCCTAAACACTTGCACTCTGCTTCGCAACGAATATACTTCAGCGTATAAAAGAATGTATGGTGGGTGTCGAGAAAAGGACGAGCCACCGTCCCCATGGCGAGGGCCACCGTCAACCTCATCTTTATTTGAACATATACAAAACTCAGTCCACTCGTCCTGCCTTGACACCACTACATTCTTTCCTCATCTTTATGTTGGCGTCGCACACAGTTCCCTACATCCTCCGGCCCGTCAAATTGACCTAACTGTCCCGAAAATTCTTGAGCAGGCTGTGTCGTCATTCTACAAATTTGGCAACATAATCCGCGCCCTCACAAGGGCGCGTGGCACCGAGGAACAATAACCCACAGGTATCAAGTGTGCGTATGAGTTCCAAGTCAATGCTTGTCGGATCATCCGGGCACCTCAATGAACTTGATTTTCCAACTATACTTTCGACGCTATAGTCCCAGGCTCGCGCCTTCAAGCGTGTTGACCTTGCTGAGCTTGCGCTGTCTCTAAATAGTCTGTGTCGGGATGAAAATTCGCAATAAAGGCTGTTACAGAAAGATCTTAGGTAGCCTTTTCAGTGGAACCTTGGCTTTCTCGTCTTGGCTGCATTTACCTTGTGAGCACCTGCCTTCTTCTTGCACCTCGGCTTGGGTTGCATCATTGGCTACTGTGATTCAGTCGGTGCATTTGGCATCAGCAGTGATGCAGCCAACGCTATCCGCTTTTTTTCTCTTCCTTGGTTTCTGCAGTTTTCTCGAAGAGTTACATTCATGAAATTTACAGGCAGGATGCTCCTGTGCCCTTAGCCCTTTCTATTATTTTATTTCCTCCCGCTTGTTGCTGTGGCTGCGATATAATTCCTACGGTAACATGTATGCAGGGAATCGAGGATTTGTGCACACAGGACATTGTCGACCTTCGTGATTACTCATCCTTGATGTTTGTTGCAAGGTATCTTGAATTTCCAAAGGCATCGCAGCATTCGATCATAGTAATCTCTTCGCCCGCAACATACACCTGAGTTGCCACTCTCTTGGAAACTTGACGGATAATACACGTTGACGAGGGCTCTGAAGGTATAAAATAGGTCTCTAGAAGTTCGAAATGTTCTTTGATTGTCTTCCACGTTGTATTCTCTGTAGTTGGAAGGTTAGTTTGTATGCTTTCAAGACATTCTTCGATCTGTCAATGGGTTGAGCCGTCAACTTTTCGTGTGACAGTATCGCAAATGATAAAGCAGTGGCTAGATGGTTGTGCCACAGGCGATGAGAGCACCTCCACTTGCACTTCTGATACTTCGATTTATTTTATCTAAGTGAGCCTGCCGAGCCTTAAGCGCATCTTCAATCTTATATTCAGCTTTGACGTTTGCCAGAATAACTTTCCACACATAAATGTTGGCTTCCGCCATATCTGCTTCTATGTGATCGATGTCAATTTGTGTCGTCTATCTCTTCATCAATTCCTTCAAGAAGCTCTAGCTGGACTGTCAAAGCGTGGTGAATATTTCGCAACTCACTTACTTGGGGGCGTTCAAGATGCAGGACAATTTTTATGCTAGCGATGGTTTCCACGAAGGTCTTTTGTGCACGACTACGCCTTTTGAATAGGGCTTCTATGATCCGGTCCAGTGTCGGCAAACGTAAAAAATTACGGCATATTCATGGGGTGAATGATGATGAATGGGCAAAGCTCCGGAGGGATTCATCGGTAAACTGTGAATCTTCCGTGTAATTCGCCCAGTCCATCATCATGTAAAGACGTGAGAAACGCTGTGTGTGTATATACACAAATCAACTTTTATTTGTTCTTAGACGATGGATGGCTTGCGATGTCCCTTGCCTCGCGCGCTCGCACATCGGGATTCTGTCTGCGAGCGCGCGCTGCTGCCGCCTTGCGCTCTCTCCGCTGTGCAGCCTTATCCATCCGGCGACTCCGAGCGCGCGCAAACAGCGAACGGATTTCATTACAACGCTCCCCCTAGTGTACGTCGCCGCACTAAATCGAACGATTGCCTTCAACCAATGACACGCGCCATATGTGACATCATTCCTATTTTATAAGATCTCGCGTCTTTCATCAACTACAAGTACCGCTTTCTAGTTTATACCATCTTGCATCTTTTCATCATCAGCTACAAGTACCACCATCTAGTAAACACTACAAGAACTAAACGAGAGGTGGCTACATACAGGAGACGGTACCGCCATCTAGTGAACACTGCAAGAACTAAACTAGAGGTGGCTACATACAGGGGACGGTACCGCCATCTAGTGAACACTTCAAGAACTAAACTAGAGGTGGCTACATACAGGCTACAGGGGACGCACAGCCCACGCCCTAAGGAGCTTCGCCCCTAAAAAGTACTGGCCGCCCACACCTTCAGGTAAACTAATGGTGTCTCCCTGCTATCCGTGACAGAGCATCGCATGAAGAAGCTGCGGGCATCGTCGATATGTCATGCTCCACGGTCTGTGTCAGGGCAAGAGTTAGGCCTCGCACATAAAGATTCACCTAATGGCGGCCTCAGCAGACGTCTTGGACACTGCAGATGCGGATGAGATGTCATTAGAGTCCACTCTGTCTCACAGCTAAAGGTTATTTATCTCGGCTTTCACGGCGCCAAAATGTTGAGAAAAGGGTGAGCCACCATCCCCATGGCGATGCTCACCGTCGACTTCTTCTTTGTTCGTACTTGGTTGGTTAGACCCAAGAAGAACGGCGCAACCCACCAGGGGAGATCGGCAATGAATCGCGCATCAGAAGGGTTTCGGGGAAAAAAAGAAGGGGGAGGCTGAAGTATTTTTTGTATGAACGAAAGGCTTAGTTGTGCTAACATGCAGTTATGAATTGTTTAAAAATAAAATAAATAAATGAAAATAATAAAGTGCGAACATAGTGAATAATATATGAATATACCAATGACAAAACTAAGTAATGAGTATGCACTTGTAACATTAGCATTATAGCTGTTTTGATTCTCTTATATAGTTCTATATCGCTTCATATATGTCCCTGTAGCAATGACCTGTAGTGTCGAAGCCTCTAGAGAGAGCAGTAACGTTTCAGACAGCTGAAGTCCGTGTTTTTGGAAAGCTGGTATTAGAAATTTTCTCCTTAAATTTCAGCACCTGTGGCATTCTGTGAAAAAGTGCTCTATCGTTTCCGTTTTTGTGCAATAGGGACAATGGGAGGAAGAAACGAATCCAGGTGTGTATAAATAAAAGTTCAAAAGTTGAATCCTGCATCGCAATTTAGTGAATGTCCCTTCAAATTGTCTTGTTGCACACCAGGCTCTGTACCACTGAAACTTGTGGTGCTGAAAATCTGCGCCATTTAGAACAGAAGAGCTGGTGTGTTCTTTCCGTAGAGAGAAATTTCGAAGTCGCTTGATAGTATGTAGGCAGCAGGGTATTAAAATTTTAAGGACGGGGCCATGAATTTATTCTGCCGCGAGTGTGTCCACCGCTTCATTTAGTGTTATTCTAGTGTGACCTGGCACCCAAACCAATCAGGTAACATGAACGTGATTGGGTATATACGCATGAAGTGCTAATAAACGAGGTGATGTCTTTGGTGCTGTCAGAGCAGTGCAGACTGGCAAAGAATCGGTTAGTATAACAACCGATGAAGTATATGTTGGGAGCTTGCGTATGGCCGGGATCACTGCCATTTATTCTGCCTTGAATATCGGCGTAAAATCGGGCAGTCGCAGTGAATAAGACAAATTTAATGCTGTTGAGTAGATGCCAACTCCTGCTTTCTCGGAATTAACGGAAGCATCTGTGGCTATACCTGAACTTATCTGTAGGCTATTGAGATGGTCTTCGAACAAACCATTCAAATATTTTATCGGCAAAAGTTTAGCATCTTTAGGAACTATATCGTCAAACTCTATACTTATCGTAGGATCCCGTACCAGTGAGAAACTCACGTCACGAGTTTTTACCCCTAATTGCTGTAAACATTTTTGCACATAAACTATTTGAGATTGACGTAGTACCAGTGAGAAACTCACGTCACGAGTTTTTACCCCTAATTGCTGTAAACATTTTTGCACATAAACTATTTGAGATTGACGTAGCCAAGACCACTCACAGTAGAAAAATGGAAAGCTCTCCTGTAAATACCTATTGGGAGCGTCCCTGTGGGGAGGCATGATGTTCAGAAATGTTTGAACAGTCAGTATGCGAAACCTAGTTTGTGCCCCGCCGTGGTGGTCTAGTGGCTAAGGTAC